ATTCGTATTACTTTTCTTCATTAAAACAATTAAAATTTTTATATTCCAAAATTAAAGATGAAACTCCATAACAAAAAAGAAAGATATAGTTATAAAGTAAATTGTTTGGATTGTAATTGCTCTTATATTGGCCAGACCTGCCAGAACTTAGAAAAGAGACTCAGGCAACATGAATTACAATGTGAAAAAATAGATAACAAAAAATTTAAAAAGTACACTTGTGGATCATGCTAATATCAACAACCATAAGTTTGATTTTGACAATCCCCAAATTTTATTCCATGAGAAAGACTTATTTAAACGGAGCATGGCAGAATCAATGTTAATAGTTCGGACTAACAATAGCATAAATCTAAGAACCGACACAAATATTTTACATGACACTTATATAAACATCATTAATAATTTATAAAATTTTTTCATTTATCTTATTCTTTTCAATAAATTAATTTGTTTTTTCATTTTTATCGATTTTTGTATGCGATAGCACTCCTTTTGTTTACATTATAATGATACCCATTCTGTCTCCATCTAGATAAGTACTTCAAATTTGTTTAGAATATTTCTGTAAGTGTTATATGTTTCTTTAGTACTGTGTCAAGCATTGCAAGGAATAGTTGGTGTTTTTTGTATATCAAAAATTAAATGAAATTTAAATAAATTATTAAAGAATGTGTAGTATATAAGTAACTGTTTTTGAAATTACACTGAAGATGAGACACACCATGGTCTCGAAACGTCTGTAATCATAAAATAAAGTTGTGTTAAACAAATCTGAGTGCTGTTTTGTTCATATTAAACAATTAATATTCGTTCCACTCATATCATAAAATTCTATATATATATATATATATATATATATATATATATAAAAATGTAAAGATGTGGTGTGGCTATGATGTTAGAGTTGCTTCGTTTCTTCATCGCTTCTGGTTCCGTATAGCTGTAGAGGTCACGACACAAGATGCCTACACCCGTGACACGTCATGTCACGGGTAGTGTTAGAACGAAATATCGAGTACTGAGTAAATATCGATACTTTGCGGTCGATAGTGAGTACTTTTCGTATCGTTTTTTATCTCGATCTATTTGTTAATATCGATTCTTTTTGTCGATAGTACTCAAAAAGAATCGACAGCGAAATCTTTGAACACACTCATCGACCAACTATGAACCCCACTTATTGCCAAATGCAATGCAATAGTCTCTCTAGATGGTCATAATTGTTCAAAGAAGTGTCAAAAAACGATCCCGAAGGGCCATTAGTCTCAGAATTTATTGTTCAAAAACCCAAAATAAATATGACCACACTAATAAATAAAGATGTTTATTTATTACTCTTATGTAAAATGAAATGGCCTTTTAAAGTACCTTAAATGTTTTATAAAAACATATTCAACAATCGAAGTATGATTATTCAAATAATAATATTCATCAATTTCAATATGTTAGTATTTTGCGTTTATTAAATTTCGATTCTTTTTTACGTAAATTACTAATATATTGAAATGGATGAGTATTATTATTTGAAATAATTACATTTTGATTCTTTTTTAAGCAAAATACTAATATATGGAAATGGATGACTTAAAGTATTTTGCGTAAAAAAGAATCGAAATATAATTATTTCAAATAATAATACTCATCCATTATTATTTGAAATAATTATATTTCGATTCTTTTTACGCAAAATACTAATATATTGAAATGGATGTGTATTATTATTTGAAATAATTATATTTCGATTTTTTTTTACGCAAAATACTAATATATTGAAATGGATGAGTGTTATTATTTGAAATAATTATATTTCGATTCTGTTTTACGCAAACTATTAATATATTGAAATGGATGAGTATTATTATTTGAAATAATTACATATTACTCTTTTACGCAAAATACTAATATATTGAAATTGATGAGTATTATTATTTGAAATAATTATATTTTGACTATTTTTTACGCAAAATACTAATATATTGAAATGGATGAGTGTTATTATTTGAAATAATTATATTTCGATTTTGTTTTACGCAAACTATTAATATATTGAAATGGATGCGTATTATTATTTGAAATAATTACATATTACTCTTTTACGCAAAATACTAATATATTGAAATTGATGAGTATTATTATTTGAAATAATTATATTTTGATTCTCTTTTACGTAAAATACTCATGTATTGAAATTTTTGAATATCAACATGCAAACATATGGGTTTGAGTTTCTCGGAACCATTTAAAATTTAAATCCCATTGCTCCGAAGGGATGTTTATCTACAAGTGTCGAAATATTATCTTGACCGTCATTAAACTGAATGTTTATTGCTTTGCAGAAGGGCTTCATATTGCACGTTTATGTAAATATGTAACGGCTTTTTAAAGTTGCACGCTCGCTAAAATTATTCATATAAAATATTCAACAATAATTATAAAATATTATTTTACTTAATAATATTAAAAATATTATTGTACTTAAAAATACTTCAAAATAAATAAAATTGCATTTTGAATATAGTATCAGACTATTATATTGTTTTAATCAAAAATACTCAACTATATTATAACTTGTCTTTTTTTTGAAGAAATAGAATTTGAAATTAGTATTGAAAAATTACTGTTGACATTTTACAATATTGAAAATGATTCTGATTTAACACATCAGATACAGGCAATAGAATTCATTCTAATATTGGGATATGATATTTAATGAGTTTTAGATGTATCTTGCACTTATTTTTGATTTTGATGAAAAGTTCTCAAAATTCGATATTGAGTACTATCGAAACCTTCGCCACGATATTTTTTTGGCATCGATATTTTGATTAGATATTTTTTAAAGTACTCAAGATCGATCTTTTACGTCGATACTTCTAACACTAGTCACGGGTGTATGTGACTCGAGCGGACACTGCTTTGAATTGTTGTAGAAAATATAGAATATTTTGAATATATTTATTTTATATGAAAATAATGCAGAGAACCTTCTATATGAAATAAGGGTAAATCTTTGTGTATAATATTTTTCACAAAATAATAATACTTCACATTCTTTTATTATTTTCCTTTCGAAAATTCATTACACAACAGGTAGTTTGATCAGCATACTATTACTTTTACACAATTATAAAATCATAATTGTGGTAAAGTTATAATATAATACTAAATATTTTTAGCTGGTTGTATACCATTGAAAGAACTCATTTACGGACAAACATTGTCGTATACAGAATATAGAATACAAAGTAGCATCATTTTGATACATTATATACCTGAAAAATTCTAAAACTGCCTGAGACGAGAAAAAAACACTTCTTTCGACCCAAATCTTCGTATTAGTGAACAATCTCAAGCAAATATCTGTGCATGTTAACAGATTTCGTATCAGTTTAAGGGAAGTCGGATATGACAAATCCAGTGAGACAACTCCATTCGGATTCACTTCGAGAGAGAAGTTGTATCGGAGTGATAACTCCGGAGAGATGGGTAACTCAATCTCTACTATATACTAATATTTTTGGATCACTAACAACAAAACAAGGTGCTTTTGAAATTATTGTTTATAGCCTCGATAATTTTATAAATAAAACACTGTTTCTATTGCAATTTAAACAAACGTTGTTGATACTCAGGACAGTTGATGCTTCCCCTGAAAAGTCTGACAGTCCTATGGCAGATGTAAAAAAATTATTGTTGTGAACTGTTCCTCCGTTTGAAAAATTTTGGCGTCCTAGACAAATCAAATGAAAATTTCACCTTCGTTCGTTCTTAATGCTCTTCTAAAAAATTCCCAATAAATAATTCAATTAATTAATTTTCTTTTGAAAAAAAAAACCGTTTTGCATTCACAGTTTTTATCGTTTCTTAAATTAAATATGGATTTACTAATTTTCGAAATAAATTTCTTATTATCAATCATGATTAGTTGGTTAACTTCGTTATTGTTCAGAATGACATACTGAGTCATATAAATAGGTAATTATTTGAACCGACGTATTTCGGAATAGCAGTTATGTGGTAGAGATCGAACTACTTTTCCGAAACAAGAGGTAATTTTATTTTAAAATTCAATTTATTATTAAAAATATAAATATTAATTTTTGCTATATTGTATATTTGGAGAAAATTCTTATTGAGAATGCTGGAAGGAAATTTCAACGAATGTTCTAAATTTGGCATGATTTTAAAAATCTGACTTTTTAGTTGTCTTATTGACATGATTAGTAGTCATAGCTTCAAAAATGCAAGTAACACTAGTATACGGAACGATAAAAATATACTGACGTCTAGAAAAAATACTTCCATTAATTCTGAACATATTATACATATGTAGATGTAGAAATACAGATAATTGACGTTGTGGGTTGTTATTAGAAGATGATATAATCTTACATACAACTAGATGACCCGACAGACGTTGTCCTGTACCCATATTTACAATTTTTTAATATAATATACAAATATTTACCGTTGACCTAAAAATAATAATTATTGCTTTTAAAATTACTCTTCACGCCAAAATGCATATACATTTATAATATGAGCGATGTTAAATGTAGAAGTGCTTTAAATAAAATGAGTCTCAGGAGCAAACTTGCTCCAATATAGATCATATTGCCATGACATTATATATGTATAAACAAAAGTATATATCAAATATATCTATTCAAAGGCAATGTCTAATAAATCATTGTGAATCAATTAGTTATTGAGTTTTAATTAAAACGTAATTTAGTATTTATGGAATGCGCTCCATAAAATGATCTCTCGAGCCGGATTAAAAAATACATTGAAGAAATACAGCGAAGAAATACAGTCCACACACAGTATCAAGGTAGGAGAATTTTGATTATTAAAACTTAGGAAAAGCCATCGCATTGAAAATGAAAATTCTCAATATACTGATAGGCAAAACCAAAGCCGCAAAAATGAATATAACGCGTGTAGAAAATTTCGTAAACAATTATCCTTCAGACATAAATATTACAGACCTTAACATGCGTAAAAGATTACTTAACAAAGCGTTTGATGAATATAATGAAGCACTAGATCAATTAATAGTTCAAAACTTAGATAAACATATAGATGATCGCGACGCGATGGAAATTAGATATTGTAAAGTTTTGACTGCAATAGAGAATTTAATCGCATCTTATAAGCAAATTGATGCTGATACGGAAAATGCAATAGATAAGATTAAAACTTCAGCAATGGTACAACTTCCACAAATAAACTTACCAAATTTTAATGGAGAGTTTTCGCAATGGCCAGAATTCCGAGATATGTTCTCCAGTCTTATTATAAATAATCAACTTTTAACAAATGCTCAAAAACTGCATTATTTGAAAAATTCATTGAATAGAGAGGCTGCTAATTTAATAAGGAATGTTTCAATAACCGATGCAAATTTCTTAACAGCTTGGAATACGTTAGTAAACACATACGATAATAAATTAATACTCATAAATGCCCAGTTAAAGGAAATTATAAATCAACCACAAAACAGAGATAATAAATCTCTTAGATACTTCTTATGCAAATCTCGTCAACATGTTACAGCAATAAAAAATGAAAAAATACCAGTTGATCTATCCGATCTCATTTTTATCTACATTTTAAAATCGAAATTAGATTTAGATACGCAGATAGCGTGGAGTTCATCTACAGCGGAAACTAACATTCCGTCTCTAGACCATTTTTTTTCTTTTTTGGAAAGACGATGTGCAATCCATGATATAAATCGAGAACAAGGACCAACTCCAAAGGTACCAATTCAAAGAAATCATTTCGCTGCGCCCATTAAAATTAAATGTCAATTTTGTAATAAGGAGCATTATCTCAATCGATGCGAAGAAATTCTAAAACTACATGTCGATGATCGAATAAAATTTGTAAAAAAAATTCGACTATGCTTCAATTGTCTCAATTCCTCGCATGGAATATCTCAATGTTCAAGCAAACGCAATTGTTCCATTTGCAAAAGGCGACATAACACCATATTACACAAATCAGAATTGCCAAGATTATCAGAGTCTAATGCAAACAATATTACCATGATCGCCGAAGAGAAAACAACAGAAACAAATGTCATAGAGCAACCAAAGAAATTTTGGGAACTTGAAGAACGATTCAGTATTTTAGAAAGAAAATTACAGGATAAAATAATTCAACAAATGAAAACATAAGTGAAAAAATGATTAAATTAGAGAAGGAACTCGAATTGAAAAATAGGCTTATTGAAAATCTTTTAGAGAGGAACGATAGACTTGATCATGATTATAAAAATCTCCAAAAAAAGTTTGATGTATATACAGACTTTCATTCTGAAAATCATAATAAAGAAATCACTCAACTTAAAAATGAATATAATAAGTTAAGAGAAGAAATTAAGGAAATAAATATTCACTTGGAAAGTAAATGTCAAGAAAAATTATTATTACAAGAAACTATTACAAAATTGGAGAAGGAGATAAAAGGTTCGCATAATGCGAATAAAGATATAATGAAACTACAACAGTTATTATGTGAAACTACAGCTGACACTAGAAAACAAATAAAGTTTCTTCAGAAACAGATGTATTCATTTAGAAAGAGTTTGTATGCCGATCAAACTGTAGTTAAGCTAAAGCAGAAAGTATTTGAACTCAACAACAGGGTTGCAAAATTAGAAGAAGAAGAAGTTCTTAACACGGAAAGAAACAGCAAACTAGTGGAATTAGAATTCTTATGCCATGCACAAATAAATTCAATAGCATTACTAGAATCTCAAAAATTCGATTTGATACAAAATTTACATATGGCTCGTCAACAAATATCTTCATTGAAAGATAAACTAGCATTAGAGCACAATGTAGATACTTCATCAAAAGTCAAATTACTAAACAAGAAAGCTGATGATCTTCTAGCGGAAGGTTGTTTTATATTTTACAAATGTTCAAGCAATAACATGAAACTAGAAAATGATAGACAAGCTATACGAGAAGCAAGAAAGGCTGCATATAGAGCTTGGTATAATCGCAAAAAGGAAGAACGCAAAAGCAGAGCTGAAAAACAGAAAAAAATTAAATCAGAATTAGAGTTGAAAATAAAGGAGTTATTCCAACGCAAAATTATTCAAGAAGTTAATTACAAATCTTGGTTAAATAGAAAGAAAAATAATAAGATAAAGGTCCGCATGAAACATCAAATAAATGAGTTACGATATCTGATCATACGGCAAGAACAAAGAAAAGTTTACGGTAAAGAATTAAATAAAGATACAAATATTAACAATTGTGTTAAAAAATTGTTGAGAGCGGGCGGAAGGCTGCAAATACCTTATATAATCAGATGCACCCCATAATTTTGCCAACTAATCATCAAGATACTGACCAATAAGAAAGTTCAAGAAGTAATTCACAATTATACGACATGTCATAAATTCAAACTAACATTGATATGAGAGCTACCGCAAAGTAGAATTAATTCAGGAAGAGAGCTAGGCGAAAAATAGGACCATATAATAGGATCAGCATACCAAGAGTAAAAACTTCAAAGAGTGATATGAAATATGAAAATGTCTTATTACTATTCAATAATAAATACTTCATAGAATTTATACTAACGTTTGAGGCCGCAGTATGGAGCCAACTTGCTCCAATATAGATCATAGTTGCCATGACATTATATATGTATGGAGGCTTGGTCCATATTAATACCAATTGTAGTCATAATAAATTTCATAAAATATTATTTATATTTCGTTTATTTTATATATGATTAATATCCACGACACTATGTGTTGTCATACTGATCGTTAATAAAACGTTATTGGTATTTTCTTATTTATAATTGAAAAGAAAGGTTTCAAGAATTATACATTTTGGCAAAAACTAATAGGGAGAAACAAAAACCGTGTCCGATCTGACACTTGAATTTCCTTTTGTTTTTCTCAGTGCTGTCACTATATGGGCCAATCTGTCCAGAGACATGTGATGCGTGTTGACAAGCCGCTATGCGTGTTGGCAACCCGCTACATCACTCCGCCCTAATGAAAAAGATTGTTTCGCATCTCTGACTGCCATTCTTGAACTTCCTTGTAAATTTCTTTTGGTTGAGATTGTGTGATAAATTGCCGTGTTGGCTTGTTGAGTTTGTTGATTGCTTACGTGGCCCTTCGCTGGTGAGTTAGCGGTTGAGTAGATGTGGCCCTTCGCTGGTGAGTTAGCGGCTGAGTATATTTGACACTTCGCTGGTGAGTTAGCGGTTGAGTGTATGTGGCCCTTCGCTGGTGAGTTAGCGGTTGAGTGTATGTGGCCCTTCGTTGGTGAGTTAGCGGTTGATTGTATGTGGCCCTTCGCTGGTGAGTTAGCGGTTGAGTGTATGTGGCGGTTGCCAAATTGTTTGCTCCCTGTCTGTTGCCATGGTGCTTATTATCGACTTATTTACCATGATAATAAGTGATTTATTGAGCACGTGTTATTGTTGATCTTGAAGTGCACATGTGATGCAATACCAATATTATCCAAATTGTAGCAATAATAAATTTCATAAAATATTATTTATATTTCGTTTATTTTATATATGATTAATATCCACGACACTATGTGTTGTCATACTGATCATTAATAAAACGTTATTGGTATTTTCTTATTTATAATAGAAAAGAAAGGTTTCAAGAATTATACATTTTAGGCAAATTCGACTAGGGAGAAACAAAAACCAAGTACGATCTGACACTTGAATTTATTTTTGTTTTTTTTCTGTGCTGTCAATATATGGGCCAATCTGTCCAGTAACATGTGATGCGTGTTGACAAGCCGCGATGCGTGTTGGCAACCCGCTACATATGTATATAAATATATCATATATCAAATATATCTATTCAAAGGCAATGTCTAATAAATCATTGTGAATCAATTAGTTATTGAGTTTTAATTAAAACGTAATTTAGTATTTATGGAATGCGCTCCAGTCTCAATTCCCACACAATATTGTAAATTGAAGTCTGTTGAACGGTAACATAACCATAACCATAACATTACACTGGTACTTCATGTTGGATTAAATTAATTGGATTTTTTGTTATTTAAGATATCCAAAATTGCATCTTTGCATCCTAATCGCTATCGTGAGGGTCAAATTCTATTCATTTTTACTTTCCCATTTGTTATTATACAGTGAAATTTTTACAAATTACGAAACAATATTGTGGAAAGATTAGTAAAAGTAGCTATTATTTCTACAATATTGCACATATATCCCAGTACTTTATAATCACATACATCCTAGAACATTTCCTTAACAAACTTCAGAAAGATTTATTAAAATCCGAATAATCCTTTAGGGAGAAGTATACAGTGAGTGCTTGTAATTTTATATGAACTTCATATAATAGCAATAAAGCTCAAGTTGATTCTACGCTTTAGTTAGAAAACGTTTGTATGTGAAAAAGAAAAGGACTGTTTTTAGGGGTTTTCCTACAATTATTCGATTTTTTGTTGCCGTAAGAACCATCCTTGGACATCAACAAACATTTTAAAAAAAGAATTGGTCAAATTGGTCTAGGCGTTGTTGAGTTATGCGCTTACCAACACATTTTGCGATCCATTTTTATATATAAGATACGTAGTAATCTATTCGTTGCAATCGAGTTATTGGAACGATTATCGCCAAAGATTATTCTTATATACAGTTCCAATTTGAGTTCATTCAATATTTCATAGTTTAATAATCCAAAATTTATATACATATTGCCAAAAAAAAGAAAAAAAAACTCAAATTGGAATTGGAAAGAGGATTGGAGACTTTTCGTAAATCAAATGCTCAATGAAAGGACAATAAAGGTAAACTATTAGAAGGACTGAGGTCAATAGTCAAATCAATCAATCAAATCAATAGCCAAAACTATTTTTACAAACAATTTCATATTTGCATTAAATTACACATTTAATGATTTAAAATGTTCAATCATCAGCAAAAATAAAAATGAAAAACAAAAATAATTAATTTATCTTATTTATAGGCCAGACCTGGGCAGAAAACTATAATTCAACATTGAAATTATTTATTTATTAGAGAGAATGCGTTCAAGTGCAAAGAGCGGCCAAATATCGATGGTGGCGCAAGCAGCGCAAACGTTATTGAATAAATTATAGAAATTGTATATAGTATATATATATATATATATATATATATATTTGATACAGTTTTGCAGCCACAAGTCGAAAAATAAAACCAGAACGTAAATATAAATCTTTTTAGTACGTTTCGAGCTATTCTGCTAGCTCATCATTCAGCTAAAAAAACAGAGTAATAAAACAAAGTAACAAAATACAATAAAACAGAATTAAAATTATACATACCAAACCAAGTTATTAAACATTCAAAAAATTATTTTATGTAAAATTTGACAAACATGAATATTTTGTTCTAAAAACAAAAAACAAAAAAATATGTATATATATATAAAATTTTGAAAAATGAAATCAAGTAATCGAAATATATCGAATGAAAGATAAAAGAAAATAAAAGAAAATATCAAGTGGTAAAAAATTGTTCAAATATTAAAATAAATCAGATTTACATATGTCATCAATATCCAAGATCTCTTCCAGTTCGATCTTCTAATTCGTTTTTTAAAATTATCGAGTTGCATTATGGATACCAAACCAGGTTAAAACTTTCTTGTTATTCTTCTTTGAATTTAAAATTAATTAAAGTTATTAACAAACGAAATTTTCTGTTACGTTGTAGGAAATTCAAATTAATTCCTAAATTTTTTGATACAAATATTATTTTGAGAAAATTTAATCATTTATCTTCTTTGACTCTTAACAAAAAACTATGTAGTATAAGTTTTGAAGCTATGTCTTTGGAAATTAAAAATTGTTTTTCCAACATTCATTTTCTTAATTCCAAAATCGATGATTTGGTTAAAGGTTTGCATTCTATAGTTGAACCCTTTATTTTGAAAAATTTTTTTGAGTTGGAAAAAATCAAGTATGACAGAATATTTTTGAATCTTAAACGGTTACATATTAAAAAATTCGATAAATTATTAGAAAAACATAACAAATTTTCCGTTCCTCTGGTAAAAGAAAAATTAATTGATAAGTGGTTAAAAAATTTTTCAAATACACCTATTCCTTCTAACTTAAAATATATTTTTGCTTTAGGCCCCAAATTTTCTCTTCCTCCATCTAAATCAAACTTTAATTTTATAAAAATTCTCAGTAAATTAGAGAATGGTATTTTAAAGTTGAAGGATGTTGAAAAAGAATCTAAATTTAGATCCGTTTGCTGTAAGAACCTTCTATCTTTCATAAAGAAAAATTTAAATAAAAATTTCATTCATATGAATTTTGAAGTTTTAAGAGATTTGAATTTATGTAAGAGATTTTTGAAGGACAATCCTGATATTATTGTTACGAGAGCAGACAAGGGTAATCTCACTGTTGTTCTCAATAAGGAAGATTATCTTTCAAAAACATATAACTTGTTGAAGTATGAAGTTTTTTATAGCGAATTGGCCAACGATCCCACAGATCACTTAAATAGACAGACACAAAAACTTATTAATAATTTAATTGACAAAAAACAAATTACTAAATCATTAGGATATTCCCTTAAAGTTTTTCATCCTAATATTCCTAAATTATACTGTCATCCTAAAGTTCATAAACCAGATTTACCTATAAGACCTATTGTTTCTGATATTAACACTCCTTTAAGTAAACTTACGAAGCACATCAGCACTATTCTTTCTAAGGTTACCATTTTGTCGGAATTTAATGTTTCCAATTCTTTCAATTTAGTTAAACGTCTAAATAATTTACAAATTCCTCCTGATTTTTCTTTTGTCAGTTTTGATGTCATATCGCTTTTTACTAATGTTCCTTGGTACTTAGCGTTAGATGCTATCTCAGATCGTTGGAATGATATCCAACCCCACACTTCTATAAACTTATTTTGGTTCAAATACATTTTAAAATTCATTTTCAGTAATACTTATTTCTGTTTTGAAAATAAATTTTATTCACAGATTTTTGGTTTGCCAATGGGCTCTAGTGTTAGTCCCCCTCTTGCTGATTTGACTTTACAACTTCTATAAAATTTTGTTTTGCCTAAACTTCCTGTTCAACCCTTCATATATTTTAGATATGTTGATGACATTCTTTTGTGTTTAGATAATAACTATATAAACCATACATTAAATTGTTTTAACTCTTTCAGTAAACATTTGCAGTTCACTTGTGAACAAGAGGTTGACAATTCTATTAGCTTTTTAGATATTAAAATTATTAGATTTAATAATAACAAAATTTATACAAACTGGTATCAAAAGCCAACTTGGTCCGGTCGTTACATTAACTATTTTTCCTTTCATTCCCGTTCGATCGAAATTTCTATTATTATTTCATTAATTGATAGAGCTATTCTTTTAAGTGATTACATCTTTTGGAACAAAAATTTAGATTTAATCCGTGAAATTCTTGTAGACAATTCATATCCGTTAAAATTAGTTAATAATATTATAAAAACCCGTATGCAGTATTTAAATAATAATAAAATTAACATTAATAATAATAACCTTTCGTTACCTATTGATACTAGTTCAATAAATTCTTCATCTTTTCTAAATCGTTATAAAGGTATTATTTCCTTACCATTTTTAGGCACATTTACTTATTTTTTAAAAAAGATATTTTCTGAAGAAGGTTTTCTTTTAGTTTCCAAATTTGAAAATACTCTAAATTCTTTGTATACTCCTTTAAAATCAAAAACACCACAAAATAGATTTGTTGACCCCGTTTACAAGGTTTTTTTTTTTTTTTTTTTTTTGTATAGCGAAGGAAATGCTTTTATGCATCCCAGATCGGTCTTCTGTCTGGGTATGTCGGACTCGATACCGCCCTGGTATAATACCGACTAAAACCTCCGCTTTGCCCATGCCTCTGGTCCCCACGGAAACCGCCGTTAGGCATTACTTCGTGGGGGGAGGATCTAGAATGTAACAATTCTTAACTTGTTATAAACAATGTTATAATTAATAAACATTATACTTATCTTTTAAATGGGCGAAGTACCATTCGCCCTTTCTCTCTCTATAGAACGCAGGTCCATTAAAACGTCTCTCGCAAATCTGTCTATGGCGTTCCAAGCGGCATCACTTGCCAGCATCACTTCAACAACATTACCTGGGGTAATTCTGCCTCCCAATGTCTCTTCCACGTCATCCCGTAGAGCACCAAATCGCGGGCACACGAAGAACACATGCTCAGCATCTTCGATTTCGCCCAAACAATATGGGCAATCCGGCGAGCTATCGTGCTTGAAGCGGTGCAGGTAGGCTCGAAAACAGCCGTGCCCCGATAGCATTTGCGTAGTATAATAATTTACTTCGCCGTGCTTGCGACTTAGCCAGACTTTGATGTTAGGAATGAGACGATGCGTCCATCTGCCATTTACTGCGACATCCCACAGTTGCTGCCATCGGTCAATGCTGTTCTTCCGTTCTTCTAATCTCAGCTTTTCAGGACTCAGTTGTTGATGTCTTCTATGGTAAATTGTCCGTCTTTCTTCTGCTAAGACTAAGAGAGGCACAGTTCCTGAAATGACGCATACTGCTTCCGCCGATATTGTGCGAAATGCGCAAGCAATTCTTATAGCACTGAGACGATATAAGGGCCCTGCCATTCTCCTCGATTTTTGAGATTTAAGAGCATCAGCCCATATGGAGATACCATATGTCAGCACCGAGGTAATAACTGACGATAGTAATATCCTTCTGGTTTGTTTAGGACCTCCAATATTAGGCATCAGTCGAGCAAGTTTCGTTCTAACTATTGACGCCTTAGCACTAACGTGTTCCACCTGTTGATTGAAATTCAAACGAGCATCAAGCATTACGCCAAGGTAACAGATGTGAGGTTTTGACGTGATTTCAAGATTTCCTATCTTTAGCTTGATGGTCTCAATTCTTTTCCTACTAGTGATAAGAACAGCTTCACTTTTTTGTTGTGCTAATTGGAGATTCATTGTTCCCATCCACCGATTAATTTTTCTAAATGTAATATCGAATAGGCTTACGATGTCATCAATTTGTTTGGAGACAACCACTAAGGCAACATCGTCTGCATATGCTACTAGTTTCACACATTCTGGAATCTCTAGTCTCAAAAGGCCATCATACATAATATTCCACAGCAAAGGGCCTAGAACAGAGCCCTGCGGCACACCTCCTGTTATATTATATTCTTCTGTACCATCGCGTGAATCGTACATTAGAATTCTGTCTGTAAAGTAGCTTGCGACTATATTGCATAGGTATGCTGGCACGTTCTTGTCACGGAGTGCATTCATAATGCAATCCCAGTTTGCAGAATTGAAAGCATTTTTTATGTCCAATGTAGCTACAAGGCAGTACTTTTTTGAACCTCCCTTCCATCTGGTTCCAGCAATTGCCTCCTTGGCGGTATTAACTACCAAGTTTATAGCATCGATAGTTGATCGCCCTTTGCGAAAACCATACTGATTGTCTGCTAGGATTGGATCAACTATTGCATCTATTCTTTGGTGAATTATTCTTTCAAAAATTTTACCCGCTGTATCCAGCATGCATATTGGACGGTAGGATGATGGTTCATCTGGTGGTTTTTTTCCTTTGGGAATAAGCACTAATCTTTGCTGTTTCCATTTTTGTGGAAAAACCCCATCTTTCAGGCATGTATTATATGCATTAAGAAACATTGTCGGAGATGTCATAATTGATGTTTTTAATGCAATATTAGGAATTCCATCTAATCCCGGTGCCTTACTATTACCAACGCGATGACAAGCTTCCATCAGTTCTTGCAGTGTTATAAGTGGAATATTATTCTGTTCTACATGCGTTACCTGGTAGTTCAAATTAGGTTGTCGTGGAAACAAAGTAGTTACTATTTTATTCAATAGTCGTGGGCAAGTTGGTGAAGGTGTTGGCTGGCTTTTGAGGCGAGACATTACAGTCTTATAAGGTCTTCCCCATGGATTTTCCTCGACTTCATCCAAAAGTTCTTTCCAGCACCTAACTTTACTATCTTTGATAGCTTTATTTAGTTGCCTACGTGCTTGTTTATATTCCACTACCAGTTGTGCAGAATTACTGAGACTATATCCACGCTGAGAGATCCTTCTTTTCTTTAGGCACTCTTTACGAAGAGAGCTGATTTCTTCAGTCCACCAGTGCACAGATTGTCTTTGATTTATGCCATGTTTACGAGTCATACTGATATCACAGGCTTCGGTTATTCTCTCCATCAGCTCTCTAGTATGCTCGTCTGCGTGTTCTGAAATTATAGGTTTGCAATTTAAGGCAACTCTCATGGCGCTTTCATCAAAAGATTTTATTTTCCACCCAATGGCTTTAGATGTTTTCGCATGTCTTCTAAAGTTTCTATTTGTTGATATTTCCCAGATGATTGCATTGTGGTCACTAGCAGTGTAGATATCTAATACCTCCCAATTGCAAATTCCTCTGACGAGGCTATTGCTAACAAAAGTAAGGTCTATTATTGAGCTTGCACTGCCCTTTTCAAAGGTTGGTTTATCACCACTATTAAGTAAAACAACGTCAAGTGCATTGAAGGCCTCTAAAAGCGCTTTACCTCTTGCATTAGTCTTCCGACTTCCCCAGTCTACCGCCCATGCGTTAAAGTCACCGGCTATCGCTACGGGGTGGTGTCGTTTTGCATCCTCCACAAGACGATCTAAAAAATCGACAAAATCTGGCAAAGAAAGACTAGGTGGAGCGTAACAGCTGTATAAATGTATGCCATCTAATGATGCTGCGACAAATCCAGCGTTGCTAATGTTAACAACATTTTGGAAACAAAATTTGCCACAGGACCAAATAACGGCTTTGGTGGTACTGTCCGTTTCCCATGGCCAATCAGTTAGATGTTTGTAAGGTTCTGATAAGAGGGCAACATCAATTTTCATATCTCTTACCGTCTGCATAAGCAAGTCGTGTGCAGCCTCACAATGATTCATGTTTAGCTGTATTATCTTCATGCTTTTGCGTTCATTATTTTCTCTATGGCCTCCCTATATACAGGACATCTGTGAGTGCCGGCATGATGTGCTACATTTTCAGAGTTTCCATTTTCAGCGCATAGTGCACATTTTGCTGCATTTATACAGTTGGCTATTTTGTGACCTTCTTGTCCACATCTAATGCATAGATTGGTCCGATTCACTTCGCTCTTGCACTGTGATCCATAATGTCCGAATAGCCAGCATTTAAAACAACGAATTGGTTTCTTGATGATTTTAATTCGACAGTTGACCCATCCAATTCGTATTTTGCTATTTGCTTTGAGCAGATCGTGTACAACTGCCGCTGGAAGAGCTACAGTAGCAATCTGGGTACCTCTATATGCCTTACGAAGCCTAATTGCTTCTGCTGGTGTGTTGCAGGCTCCTCCGGTAGCTTTTTGTAGCGCTATCTGGATATCAATTTTTGAGGTTTCATCATCAATATCCCTTATTTCTATAGTTTCTTGGTGCCCCTTATAAATAACTTCGGCCTCATCCTTTAACACACCTGCGATAATCTGTTGTAGTCCTTGGCCTTTGTCCGCACTTTTCTTAGAAATAGTTATCAACAAGTCTCCATTTCTGGTTTTGTTTATTTTGTCTACCGTCGTATTTACCTTGTCATCAGGGACATTATGTTTGATGCGACGTAATATTTCGGAATAATTAACTTTTTCGGTCGGCCGGATTAATAAGGCATTTGGTTTTGGAAAAATTCTATGATTTTTTATCATTTTATGGTTAGAGTCCTGTTCTGACAGATGTACCCTTGCTTCCTTTTTTTTCTGTTTTCTCGGCTGAACTTTATGCCAGTCATTTACCTCGATTTCTTCTTCATTACATATTTCTATGGTCGTCTGACGTCTTGGCAAACCATTTTTCTCATTAACCTGATTTTTGCTTATATGTTGTGAGTTTCGGTTTCTTGTGGCTTTGCTTGTGTCCTGCCGTACACTTTTTTCTATAGGGGCTGTCTCACAACATTGCACTTCATTTATCATAACTTCCATATCATCTGTGGTTCGGCCTTTTTCC